CATGTATACATGCATACTGATATGGGTTCCTACTGTATGAAATACTCTCTCCTGGATTGTTTTTTTCCTGCGAACATTTAAAACATAAACTCTAATCGAAATCCTTCTTCCCCAGACACTGCTTTGATCTCTTCCTGTGGGACCTGTTTGTGCCACACAGCATTCTCTGATAAGCCTTAGAACCGGGCAGCCATTACACTAGTAATTACACAAATACAAAACCTTGACCTTGCACTTGATTTACCTGACTCTGTGCTTAGCCTCAGAGTTAAACTTCTGTAGGCGTTGGGCGCATAAACTAAAACAGACACAGTGATACACAATCTTGTACGCACAAATAAAAAACTAAAAGAAGGAAGCCTTATGCTAAATGCACAGACAGTAGAGTTTCTGTGGAGTTGCAGGATGTGCCATCCCAGCAGCCGGTATAGAGGTGTGATCTCACAAGGTGAGTGGATGCTGGAGGAGAAGGCTGCCTTGCGGTCAGCAGGGAGGCAGCGGGCCTCAGGGAAAAGCTCTTAACTTCTGTCAGGCACAAATAACCACGCCATTTTTCACCTCCTGATTTTTAACTGAGAAAATCACTCCGGTCCCCAGTCATATGAACTCTACGCACACGCCATGAGTCAATTCTAGCTCTGACAGCAAGGAGTTCACTCTAACCCGCCAATCTTTAGTTTTTCTGTGTTGCAGGGCCTTTTTTCTTTCACACTTTGGTGTTTTTAAATAATGGGCATAATATACCCATCTTAAACTATAGACTGTATGTATGCATTACTCTCTAATTATAGTATCTATGGGGATGAGTATAGTGTGACAACTCTGGCTGTCTTGAATTCATGCTTTTGTGACCAAGAGGCTACAGCATTACTATTTATGAAAAATAAATATAAATTGTCTGTTACCTCAGAAGCATCTTTTTTAAAATTCTCAGGTTGAAGATAGTTCTGAAATTACTGAACAGCATGAAATACATAATTGTTATCAATGTAAATTTCAATGTTCGTTGTAGCTTTTGATAAGGGTAAAGGCAGAACACTCTTTATTCCTACATCTTTGTTAAAATTACATTGAACAAATGAGTAGAAAAGGCAGATTTAAATAGTGTATTACATTCAATCACATGAATGCGTTCATTATTTAGCTTGCAAAGGAATTCCTCTTTACAGAAATAACACATAATGTGTGCAAAGGAATTCCTCTTAATAACACAATGTGTTCACATACTATGAGTGTGGACACAGTGATCTACTGTGGTCAAGCTGCTGCTAGGTGGTGCTATTGGTAGCACTGTCTTTGAGGGAGAGACTGCACACTTAGAGTGAAGCAACACTGTATTTACCAAAATCATGTAAAACCATCTAGTAAGTAGCTATCCTGCAGTTCAGTTTTTATATTCCAATGCATTACATGTAAATACTGTACAATATACAGTACTCACACACGTTTGCTGAAACAACGCCAACCAGCTGCCTTCCAGGTCTTCACGCCTGAGACACTGATTCCTAAAGTGAAAATATATAAGAGAGGGTGCCCCCGTACTTGAGTATATTGCCATACATCACATCATTTAACACTTTGAACTGTCAGAAATGTGTCACTCTGTCTCTCTCTTGATACCTTCATCTGTCAGAGTGAAATCATAAATACAATCATTTCCCCAATGTTGGCTCTTTATTCTGTCAACCGTTTCAAAATGTGACTGTGCCTCTTCATTTCCGACGCATGAATAAGTGAAAGGCCATTAATATGTCTCTTTCATTACACTCTGGCACTCTGCACTGCATGAGCATGCAAAGAACTGTGTTGGCTGGGCTTGGGTTCTGATGTCCGATTTGTAAGGCAACAAAGATATGTCACTATGTCCGCATGAAAAAAATTTGTCATTCTGAGAATTCATATTTTTGTTCCTGCTGTTTAAAGAGACAGCTAGTGGAGTGCAAGGAGACGAGTAAATGTCATAAATTTCATAGATCTGCTTTAAATTATGAGTAAAATGTTTGCTCTCGTCTGAATGAATGACTTTTCTGTAAACACAGCTGAACTTATATAGAAAATGTATAAATTATTAAAAATTCATACATGTAAACTTCTGTGCCTGATAGTGAGTTTTAAACAAACATTTTCCCAAAATGAACTGTACAAACATTGTGAATACCGGCCAAATGGGTCAAACTTATTTTCTGTGTGTTTTGTTTAAAGATCACCCTGTAGTCTCATTTCCCCCCCTCCTCTTTTCTATCGCCACTCCCAAGACAAGATTAGAGGGGAAACTCATCAGTCTCCTTGGCTGTTGTCTGATAAACTTTTTATTTGAAGGGTGTCCTGTCTGGTGTCTCTGGTGTCTTCCTCCAGTGCACTCCTGATTTGAAATATAGCCTTACATAATGAGGGAGAAAAATAGAGCGGTGTTGCACCCCTGAGCCGGTGTCAGCTTAATCAATCATTTTTAAACACAGGCAGGCATGCTTACTCTACTCGCTTCACATCCACCACATCCTTCCCCTGTTCAACAATGTGACAGCAGCATAATTCATTTTAACTCAAAAATTAAACAGGCAGCATCAAACTTGTCCCGGGATCCTTTTGTTTTAAACACAGCACAGTGTGTTGGTCTGAGTGTGTTTATGTTGCTTTTGTTAGTGCATATATAAACATTACAATAAAAAATTAATTTCTAATGCTTATCTAACGAAATGCGTACACACATGTAAGGAGTGTTTAGATAAGTCAATGTACATTTTAGAGTTACAAGTATTGGTGTCATACCAGACATGCAGACATGTGCTGCTTTGTGTGTTTGTATTTTTCAGAGATAAAATTGTGAGTCTGCTTGCAAATCTCTAGTTTCTCAGCTTGGATGCTGAACATGCAACAGGCGTGGAATGGTAGTGTAGGGTTCACACGGTCAAATTGCAGTGGGTCAGGAGGTCAGGGAAATTTGGAGGGAGCTAAAGCTGAGCAGAAGGAATGGAACTTGGCCTCTTCGCTTGGCAGTGAGAGATTCCTTCTGGCTTTCTGTCAAAAAGTTGTCCTTCAGTGCAGCACAGCTCCAATAGTTATATCATTCTACATATATATCTTGCTACATGCAAGGAGTGCAGCACCTGAAACATGAAAACATGTGACTAAAGTTAACTTAAAATACTACCTGTTTCTTGTTCTTTTTTAAAATTACAATTTAGCATATTCAGTATTTTTACATAGATTAAACATCTCACTTTAATGTGGTCATGTTTTTGAATCATCCACACCTGCACATGCTCAGTGAAGCTGAAATGAGTTGACTTAATTACTAGACAGCAGCATTGTAAACCAATGTACTTGCATCTCTCACCTTCTGTCTCAGTGTCATTGTTTGACACTATTAACTTGAATGTAAATTGTGTCACTTCACTAATGTGAAGTGTTTATCAAGCTTGAAAACAAACAAATAAATGAAAGGTTAACACCAATTACAAAAGCTGCACTTAACTTTAGTAATTATTTTCACTTTGCCAACCAACTACATAGCTAATCCGACACTAAGCAGAGGAGATCAAATCTAAGACACTGGATCCAAATAAAGGACAAGATGAGCAGTTACCACAGCTTTTAAACAAACAAACAAAAAATATTGGCACAATGCTAAAATGCTAAATACAAAATACATTAAATTTCTGCCAATTTACAGTATGTTCTATGCGGGATGTGGATGCAGTCAAACACATTAACATTTATGTATATAGTTTTGGCCATGTTTAGTCCATGAAAGAAATGGTACGGTAATATAGAATTAAACCACATTAGTTGCAGACATGTGAGCTTTGAAAGAGACAACTGCAACCAGATGGTGTGTAGCATCCTTTCTGTATTTTAAAATATATTAAATTAAGTATGGAGTTTGTTTACCTTTAAAGGAAGGCATAGGCCTACTGGTTTCAATCAGTGATCATCAAGAGGGACAGACTTGTTAAGAGGATGTTGGTAATTCTCATTAAGACAATCCTTGAACATTTGGATACAACCTTGCATAATCAGCCTAATTAATATTAGTTTACACATTGTATAGAGATATATAGGCCTAGTATTTAAAGAGATAACACCTCTCCTCTATGCTTTGATCACTTTGTAAATTCATTAGTTTTGGGGCATAGTGATTTATTTTCCTAAATTCCGGACCTCCCTATCAGCAGTCTGGCTCTGTCAGGAGAGGGCAGGACCATGTCAAAGTCCACGTGCACCGCTTTGAAGAGGCGGGGTTCCGCCTCAGCTTGCCCGCTGATCACATGCAGAAAGCATGGTGTTTGTAATTGCTGCGCAACAAGCTGCGCGCGGACGCCGGTTGCCGGAGTGACGTTTGATGCCAGCTGTATCTCATTCTCTTCAAACTGCATGTCAATCTTTAACTTTGATCAGGCAGAGCGGAGACACGCAGGTTATTCCGCGAGCAAAGGGAAGAGTCGTCTCATGTGCTAGAGCAGACTACTCAGAAATGCAGTGCGCTCCTCCCACAGGACGGTGGAGACGACGACGATGATGATGATGATGATGATAATGGTGGTGATGATGATGATGAAAATAATGTAGAGCGCTCTGTTGAATTCTTAGACGTGAAAGTTGAGTTGTTTTGCTGTCGGGAGTAGCCCCACAGACCGCTATATGCTGCAGCCAGGAATGGCATCCACAGTGAATGAATTAGCAGTAAATAATCCCTGTACCTCTGCAGCCTTTGACTCTGAACTTGCAACCATAAAGAAAAACGCTATTGTGTCGTGTGAATAGAATATGATGCGAGTGATAGTGGCTATATTTAGCTGGATGTGATTTGCAGGTTGTGAATAAATCAAAACAACAACCACAAGAACTGCAGTTGACTTGCAAATCATATTCATGTTTTGCAGTTTAATAGCCCAATAATATGGTTTAGATGCATGTTATCATGGTGTATTTTCACCATTTTGGCCAGTTTTCAGTTTTAGCACAATCTGCCCAACATGTAAAAAAGATAATACATGGATGTACACAAGTGCCGAGCAAGGTCAGACAAATAAAATATTTCCATTCCCATGTAAAACTGCGCAGGGTCGATCTGCATGGATTACTTTCAGGCCTACATCTATTCTTCGGCTATTGACAACCTCTCCCTTTTCAGTGTGCATGACTGGAGCTCTCACTAGCGCTGCTAGTGGACAATCAAACCTACACACCCACCTCCAGACACACTCGCATTTCTCATTTCTTACTTCTAGTCTAAATTAGATAGCAAGACGTAGTGTCGGAGCTCACAGATCGCATTAGAATTAGTTTCAAGTACTAGCGGTAGTTAAACAGTAAACCTTGAAATTCAACATGGAGTCCCCTCCAGATCCAGCGAGCGACCCGGGCAACAGCGCCTCGGAGCCGGCTACCCCGGTCAGGGAAACCCCGGTAAACCTGGAGTCGCTCCGGAAAGCGGACCATCCAGCCCCGGTTCGAAGGCAGACCTGTTCAAGCACCAACAGAGGTAAGCGGACCCTATTTCGCTTTTTACTGTGTGGGGAATGGAGACCGATCGAGGGTTTTTTTAATCAAACTTCCAAATGAATTAAATCGTTTCTCCAATAAATAACAGCACGCTGTCTAAATTCACCCAACCACACATAGACAGGGCTGTTTTATTTAGTATCACCGCGGCTTTTTCTCTCTTTTTTTGCCCGTTCGCTTGTAATTAGTGCCTCGGTGTGTGTTTGCTGGTGTTCGGGCTCCACTGACAGCTCAAATCATAGGGGGGTGATACGGTCACAGATGTCACATTTACTCCGGCTGCAAGATAAATCAATTACCCAGCAACTTGAAACTGACCAACGGGAGCTTCTCTTCGTGCCAAAACAGGCCAACCTGTCCGCTCAAACGCGATATTGTCAAAGTGTCAAAAGTGAACTTTTGGAGACTGGGGGGGCTAGTTTATCGATCAGAACCCCTTTCTCCATTTGAGAGGACGTGTCCTCCACTATTACAGACACAGCGCACAGCGATTTTCTAACATCTTTTCCAGCTCACAATTTTTTTATTCCTGTGGGCAAAAAGACGCCCCAGCAGCTGGAATTTGTTTAGCTCTCAAACACTGTTGCAAGTATGGAGGCGGTTTGCATGCCTTTTTTATTTTTTATTTTTGCGACTAAACCTCCACATGATCACACAATAAATAAAAAAAACTGAAACAGGCCTATATGATCAATTAGCCCCGTTGGAAGTCTGTCTGTGTTGCTGCTGAGGACCAGTTCATTTTACATGATTTATCCACCACGTCCCGTCCATGTTGTACAGTACAGACAGTATTTAACCACACCCCCTCTCGGCTGTCTCCAGTGCAGGCTAACCGGGCTCATCCAAGTTCAAAGAAATAGTGATTTTCTCTGCTGATTCTCGTCAGGCAGAGAGTTGGTGCATACACACGACACTCAGGCAAACGGCGTATATTTGACAATTAATTCATTGCACGGTGGGTTTTCTTTTTTTTGTGTGTGTGTGCGCACTCTTCCTGTGCGCAAGGGTATATTTAGAGTGTGATATGGTGAATGTGGAATGTAAGCTGGTTATGTAACAGGTTTAGCCATAAACAGAGGCGCGCAACTGAGAGCAGAAATCATCATCGCAGATCTTTTTCACTTTATATACAAGAGCTCACCCACTCCCCATGATCACCACGGTTGTTTAATTAAAAAAAAACCCACAACCAGTGCACTTCAGCGGGTATTTATACTCCACTGAAGGGAAAACTGTGTGACTTTGTGGGTTGGCACAGCCGGAGCACTTATGTAATAGCGGGGCAAAGACAGGTAGTAGTTGGGAAGCTTCGTGGATTGATTTCTTTTTTTTCGCAAGTCTGACTTTGAGACACTCCTAACCTGCTGACCCATATTCACCCCACCCTTTTATGCACAGGATTAAAGTGCGTCTGGGAAAGAGAAAGACAGGAAAAAGAACGCCTTCGGTCTGTTATGTAATGCTGAATGGATGAAAAAAAAACTTGTTCAGTGGGAGAACCTCTGCAGCTTTAAAGGAGTTTCCCTGCACTGTAACTTTATTTTGACCCTTTTCAAAGAATAAGAACGATTATTTGAGAGTGTTAGCAGCAGGAGGCTTGAAGAAAAAGTTTTGAGAACTTTTTAAGAACTTAGATTTTGTACTGCAAGTCATCATTTGTCTGAAATGGGTTGTGAATAGATTCCTAAATTCTTTCATTGTCTCATGTGTAGTTTATATCTCAATGTGCATTAGCCGTTTCGTCGTTTTAAAAAGACTGTGGTAACAACAGGACATTCATTTTTATCTTTCAGAAACATTAAGAACTGTAGCTTTAATGTGCAGTTATAACTTAAAATGTAGGAGTGTGTTTACAAGGCATTATAAAACTGCCACAGTCAGCCTATATTTTCTTTCAAGGACGCTTAACTGGGTTCACCAAGCAGATTCTTTATAAATGTCATAATGTACAAATATTCAGAACATTCCCCATGCAGGAAAGCGGAGGAAAAGTTTTGCTGCCATAAAGAAATGACGACTTAATTGTTTTATTTAATAAAGCATCGACGTGAAAGTGCAAGTGTTCTGTTAATAAGTAACTGTGGTTGTTTTATTTGCGTCGGCACAGTTCAGTGCAGGATTACTCAAAAAATAAAACAATAAAAAAAAACGGCTCACTGTAGTGTTAGACATTTTTTAGGATTACAGTTCTACGCTCAGACTCTGACTTTTCAGGCCAGCCGCAGAAACCAACATCTGAAAGGCAGCAGACACTTGCTCAAGCGAAGTTTCCTCTCTTTACACCAGCTGTATTAGACTTTCTGAGGATGCACATTTCTTATCCTGCATGCAGAGCGTTTACTGTTTTAACCCTGAGTGCTAATACCTTTTAAGTAGAAAGGGCTTACTTCAGCAGAAGCTCTGCTGTAAGACTTGAGTGGGTCAGAGAACAGGCCTTGGAGGGCTGTGGATATCATTACTGGAAAGAAGAAAGGGTGTTATTTTCATATTGCAAGATCCCTCCGTTCGCAAATTTGGAAACAATCAATATTAATGGCTTGGTTATGTAAGGTCATGGTCTGCAGAGGCCTGAAACCTCGCAATTGCACAGGGAAGCTTTGAAGCCGCAGATCTGATAAGAGCTCTAGTGTCCTGGATCCTCTGTTAACATGACTTTGTTTGAGTGTCAAAAGAGTGTGTGTGTGTGTGTGTGTGTGTGTACAGTACGTGTGTGTTGCCTTACTGTAGTAGTAGATTTCACTAAATGACACGGACTACTATATGCTTGTGTTCTTACGGCGCACAAATGCTTGTCATTGTCGTTTACACTGACAGTGAGTCATCTGAACATCATTTTGCCTTCATTGGGGAGAAAGAGGTGGATGCTACTCATGAAAGACAAAAAAAACATATGTTGCTTTTGACATTGTGAAAGTTCTCACCAGGTAATGTGCACTGTGGTTTCCTACAGTGGAGAATATTAGAGTGCGTCTTGCTTATTAGCTTGCCTCAGTGTCATATCAAAATTGAATCTCCTTTGATCTTTTCATACAAAATACCAAGTATTGTTTTGTTGTTAAATGTTGGTTTCATTTTGAGAAGCAAATCTTACCTGATGCTGCAGTTTTTGTTGCTAATCCAAACTGAAAAGGAAAAGTATAAAAATATTCAGTCTTCTCTTAATGAACACGTAACCAGACTTTCATCCAGCAGTTTTATTTTTGGGCAGCGGAATGAGAGCTCTCGGCTAGAGTGGCAGCATTTATTTAGTTGTTGTTGACACAAGACGGATGAGGTGCCGAGACGCAGAGGCTTTTAAATAAAGGTTTTACACGAAATCTCAGAAAGCCAGGAGTTGGCATTGGTTTTGCACGCCACTCGAGTGGACAGCGACATTGTTGGGGCTGTGGCATTCTCAAATTCAATGAATTAGGGCTCTCTGCCCGCTGGAGAGCATGAAGATACAGGTATAGGCTTATAGCTGAGCCTTCAGCTCGGACAGATCCGGCAGAGGAACTCCATTAGGTGTTTCTTTTTTTCTGGCTGGCTGCCTGTAACATAATATTGAGTTTCAGTCCTCCTGCGTTTTCAATTCTTATGTCTGGGTGAGCTGATAATATCATGAACTGTTTTATTGGTACCTGTCAGACAGTTAACATTGTTAAATGTTAACAATCAGCCTATTTGAAGTCAAAACTGAGTATTTGATTTATTCACATAAAGTTCTCCTCAGAACATGAGCCAATTCAACTGAAAAAGATGAGGAGTATTTCTTCGATGTTACGCTGAACTGTTGCATAGGCGGTGACATCTGCTCCTAGCTTAGACTTTGGCACCGATACCTTTGTTATGAGCTTCAAAGGTCAAATTACATTCGAGCAGCAGCATGCTTATCTAAAGAGGATGTACCTGTGAAATGTCAACATAACATCAGGATTAGTAGTTTAATGCGCACTGATTGAGATTTCGTCATATCAGGTGTGATGCTCTTTCTTTCTCGCCGTCAGTTAAAAAATAATAAGTAAAAAATTGTATAAAATAATGAGACATGGTTTCGGCTCAAATTGTCCTACTTACGTATAAAGCGCTGTGAATTGCTCTTTAGTTTTTAGGTCCCATGAAATGAAAAATCCTGCTTCTCTTTTCCTTACCCCATTTCCCTCTGTGGATTGTTTTGTTCTCTATTGTCATTTGCCAAAAATGTTAAAAGCGTGTTTGGTTATTTTTATATCATAAACCAGTTCATTGCCAGTAAAGTTTCAATAAAATGTGATCATTGATTTTACACATACAGTCAATAAGTTTACCTTTGTAATAAAGATAATTAGCAGTAGTAGAATAATACAGACCAGAAACCTTGTTTCCATTTCCGAAAGTGTATCAGTTGTGATATAAATGACTCAAATTAACTTGTTAAGTTGTACCTCATGATTTTAAGTCCTGTCTTAATACCCTGCTTTTGGGGAAGATTACACTGACAAAGGCAATTTATGGGCCCTATTAAATCAAATAGTTTTCGTGCTTTTTAAATAGCAGACATTTTAAGCGTTTTAGCTCCGCTAGTTCAGCTATAGTGCGAGGACGGTTAACCACGTTGGTTTAGTTTGGTATATCTGTGTGGCATCTAGGGGGCACTAAGAGTTTTAAGATATTTTTTTGTAATTTTCATTGGAGCATTTAATCAGCCGTATCTACGAACTGGAGGGCTTTCAAATCATGCAGTAACCTGTGATTGTTTTCTGTATTTGATATGAGGGAAGCTGAATGAAAGGACTCCTGTGGATTGTACTGTAGGAAACTGCCTTGTACACACACTGCTGGTTCTCCCCAGCCAGTGAAAATTTACACACACTGGCAGGACGTTGCTAGCTGTTAACTGGCATACCATAGCCTGAGTTCTCAGCCCATCACGCTTTCTGTAAGTCTAAACACGAGAGCCAATAGCTTCGAAGTTCACCATGCTCAAATATGTATGCATTTATATCAATTATCAATGTATCATCATTTCATTGCTTCATTTAAATTCTGTGTCACCTAATATAATGCAGAAAACGTGATTTAACAAGGTTGAGTCCCTGTGCTTTCAATCAATACAGGAATTTTAATTATAGTACAATGATTGTACAAGTTGTTAATTGGTGCTGACATATTACCAAACAGTGTATTACACAGCTCAGGATGCACACTGTAGATGCAAATGTATTCCACAGATGTTTTGGTTTAGCTGGATTTTTTTTAACCTGTAAATCGGCTTTTAAGTTCATCTGGGGTATATTGTAGGCAATGCAATGCAATGCAAGCCCTAACAGGCCCCTATATTAATTAAAAAAAGTTTGGAAATGTCAAACTTACCCTAGACCAAATCTGAAAGTTTTATTCTTGTGGGACAATTTATTTTGGAGTTTAAATCACCAGTGGCTTAACTGGGGCTGGCGAGGAAGTTTCAACTGGTGACAGACACCAGATTTGATGTGAAATCTCCAGTGGTGAATGATAGCTCAGATCTATGGCCCATTTACAGAAGTTTGTATCTTAGATAGAAAAGTCTGAATAGTAATGACCGGAAATACTCCAGATGCATTATTGGAGGGCGTTAAAGGCATCTAAATTTAATGTGGTACACTGTGACCTAAGTACTGGTGCCGCTTGGCTCCGTGCTGCTCGGCGCTTCTCTGATATGAAATGGGCCCCTTAGAAGAGGACTGGAGGGAGAGAGGTGGTGAGAGGGGTCTAGAGGATCACTCAGAGGAATTCTTATGTCACATCTATGGCCAAGCCTTTTACATCTCTACCAGTGTGGAGGGTGCAAAGCTCCCAAGCAGGTAGGTAAGCCCCTCGCACTGAAAATCCCAGTACTCAGTCAGGAACTTTGACCAGCAGTATCTTTGAAACCATCATTCCTGTGCTTCTGAACACAATCATGTTAGACATACTGTACATTCACCTCATGTGTGTCATGTCATGTGAACCTAAAGCCGTTGGGTGTCAACATGCTTAGAGAAAAAAAATATTTTTTTTACCACAGAGGCTTTAGTGCTTCATGCAGGCTGGAGAGCACTGACATGTGTTTAACACTTGAGAGAAAAATCAGGATGATCTCCCGGCAACGGAGGTTCTCCCAGACGTTATGTGCATGTGCACGCTTTAAAACAGGAAGAGGTACGGTTGTAAAATCTAAAGTATGTTATTCAAACGGCACACCTCGAGAGCCTCTTAACGGTTATTTATCTTGCTTTCTGTAGGCTAAACGGCCCTCACGGCACCTCTTAAGGACTCTGTTTAGTGGTGGACTACGACATCTGACTGAAGATGAAAGAGATGAGAAAGATGAAAATGGAAATGTGTGTTGCATATTGTAGCTGTCTAGCATAGATGAAGAACAGTAGGAAGGCAGAAGAATCCATGTGCTTTCTCCTTTGTTTAGAGTGATAATAATGTAATGCTGTGTGCAAGTGTATATTCTCAGGATGTATTAAATGTAATCAGAACAGTCTAGACTAGAGATGGTGGTCTCAGGATTTGCTGAAGCTATTGGTCTCTTGTTTCAAATACATCAGTCTGGATGTTTTATCTTGTGTCTACATCATTATTTTACCACATGTGAAGTTATTGTTATTCGTTTCCTCAATTCCCTCTTCAACTTTTACAAATAATTTATAAATAATATAGTTGCAGGAGCAGAACACTTTTTCTGGTGCCTGTACTTTTTGATTTTCCTTTGGTTCTATCACACAGGATAAGGTAATAATACCAAGGAAAGCAAGGCATGCATATCACATGCTCCGCTGCAATTTTCATTACATGAGTAATGCTAGAGTATTACTCAACAAAGTTTATTTGTCACCTGAAATAAACAAAAAACTTTTGGAGACAAGCGAGATAAAATAATTTCAAAATCAGTGTCATTTCTGTTGGCTTGATTATTTATATTGGAATAACAAGCGCAACTTAATCTCATAAATAAAAAAGGGAGAGATACAGATCCGTCCCCTCCAGGTACAGCCGCCACTTAATCGAATTAGCTCCACTCTCAGGCTTGACGGGCTCTTCAAACACCCCTGGTGACTTCTGAGTGCCGATTACAATCAGCTACTATTTTCAGCCTTTGATTAAAATCTGGTGAGGTTGGACAGAATTTTTTTGAGCGCAGAACCAACTAATTATTAACATCGCAGCCCATCTCTCTCTTTTTTTTGCCAGTTACAGAGGGCCAGTGGGCTGGAGTAGTTAAACAATACCCATAAGTATTAATCATGTTGAATCTATTAGCTTCTTCTTATTGAAACATCTCACACTAGTCAGTTTGTTGTCCAAACACAGATATTTGTACTGACCTTTGAGTCATTGGCTTGAATTTTTGTGAAATCAAAGAAACTTTTGTATTTGTTTCTAGAGTAACATTTTGTCTGAGTCTGATAAATCCTAACACTATAATCTTTGTTAAATAATCTAGCTGTTAATACAGATTTCCTCATCTGGCAGACAACAATGATGAACACAACTCTTTACTCATAAAATAATAGAAGATGATCACAATTGTTCATGCCTCACACAGTATGTCATAGAATCATTGTAATGTGCTTGTCAAAGACAATTCGGCTCTTTTGTTACTTTCAAAAGGCAGCTTTTGAATATGAATAAGTCACTGATGAATATTTGGTTCTCGCGTGTCTGTGGATTGATTGCTTTAGGAGGCGTACTAAGACGGAGTGTGGCACGATGGGACTCGATCAATGCAGCAATGCTGCTGCTGTGCTGCTTTCTGACAGTGATTGAAAGACAAAGTTACTCTTCACCATGTATGATACATGAATCCTGCTCTCATTAACTGACAAATATCATCTGATCAATCAATATTTGCAGCTTTATTTAACTAATGCCATACTTAAGAGGCAATAATTAACGCCATGCTGGGTTGTTAAAAGCCTATTTTTATGTGACAGACAGAAATAGACATACAGAAATAGGAAGATGAAGGCCTTTGGTTGATGTTGATAGTGGCGTATCGTGCAGACCTTCCTTAAACACTGCACTATGAACTTATGAAGAACTTATCTTATAACAATTCCTGTTGCTTTCAAGTTATATTAATTTACAAAACTTTTTTTTGTTGAATCTTCTTAGCCATTATGAATGACTAAAAAGTATTTGGGTTATTGCTAGATTAAGGACAGTATTTAAATGGAAGTTCAGAAATATCTACATTTTGAATTACTGTTGACATAAAACCAACCTTCATAAACTTCTTTTCTCTACATAAACTATTTTTATTCAACCTTTGTTGAGGTTATACGTTTGTTTGAGTAATTGAAATATAGTATGAAACAGTTTAACTGAGGGAATATTCATTCGATGTCATCTTCTGTTAAACAAGTGTGGCTTGTGATGCTCATTAATTTCTGCTTGCTCCACTTACAGTGTTTGGGCTCTCTTTGCTGGCTCAGTGCCACAGCGTCTTCTGAAAGAGCCACTTCATCTCTGTCAGGGGCAGGTGGAAATTTGCTGCACACTTCTAATTGGACAAAGTGCCTTTCAAACTCTGAGCCATCATACACAGATCAGATTATCATACAGACCAGGTGTCAACAGAGGTTTTTCACCTCCCTCTTCCCTTCCTGCTCTCTTCTGCATCTTTTGGTCGACTTTCAGATTTTCTCTGTGCTGTGTCGCTTTTTAACGCTTAGTGGCCCAAGGCATAGTGAGCTTTGTTTTATAGATTAATTACAAGAAAGTATTTTGACTTTGGAGCTCTTATTGTATACTGTAGAGCAACATTCAGACAAAAAACGTCTTCTAAAACTGGGAGAGATCAAAGTTATTTTCAAGTGATTTACCAAGTTGCCTGCTCAAACATCCTAAGTTTAAAGCAATACTTTGGTCATCTTTAGTCTCAACTATAGAAACATTTTCAACAGCCAGAAGGAGAATGTGAGGCTGCAGGCTAGCTCACAGGGGGCTTTAAGGTCTGCAGTGAAGCTCTGGGCCAGACCTCACGCGCTTGTAAAAGTAATCTGTGAAATCTGCAGATCAATTCTTCATATAACAGGTAACCAGTGAAAAGAGCAGAGCTCAAGTGATGTTATTTTGTCTGTTTGAATCACTTAGAAGCATAACTGCTAAATTTTGAAGGAAAAAATAAAAAAATGTTGGTCAAAATGCTTCAGGCCAGTAGAGTATATAAAACTTTGTATAAGAGACGCACTTTAATCAATGGCCTTTAAGGGTGCTGTATATCTGTGTATTGTCAGTTCAAGAGTAGAAGGAAATATTTTTTTTTTGTTGATATGAAAAATATGAGCCTGTAAATGGAAAATAAGATGGGGCATAAAATTGAACCTTGAAGAGCAGCCCAGGTAATGTGTGTTGAAAGATGGGAAATAAGTATGTAAGAGGTTCTGTACACGCTGAACAGATTACATTAGGTGTTGTTTTTCTTTACGTGACCCAGTATTTTACTCTGTCAATTTCAGCTGCGTTGAGCGCCAGAGTCTACAATAAGATCTAAAAGGATGAACATTGAACAAATCTGATTTTTTTTATTTTAATAATGACACCTGGGCTGTTGCTCCTCTGGCTCAGGTTAGCAGTGGAGCACGGATGTGGAAGCAAAACTTGAGGAATTATTTGAAGAATTAAGTGGCAAAACAGCAGTATCTCATTTTTATCACAGTATCCTTTGATAGTGGAAAGGCTAAACCAGTTGCATATAGTGATAAATACATTATCACTACTCCTTTCACATCAGGCAAACATGGCAACATTTTGGCATACTCAATTGCTTATCTTGTCTGCACGTCGTCAGCGCAGATGTATTACCCTGTGCTGATTTGATTCTGGGCAAAGGGAAGTGGACAGGAGAGATTGATGGTGGTGTCCCCAGTCAGACAGATAACACCTGATTCTGCCTGCAGGGGGTTGGTCTAGCACACTCCTCCCCTGCACCTCAGATGCGTCGAAGGCTGTGCTGAGGAGGTGAACCGTTCCTTCACTCAATGCAAATTCAGGGCCACATTCGGAGATGATCCCAGGACGATTGAGCCAATGTGGCCCCGAGCACTCTGCACCACATGATCCATGCATCAGCCACACCTGGGAGAAACCCACACAGGCATGGGGGTCATTTGTTTAACACAGGTGCATCATGTATCTCAACGCACTCAAACAAGCGCGAACACACACGCACGTACCCACACGCTTGAACAGACGCACACATGCCTGAATGCACACATACACGCAGATACACAAGTGTTAATGAAATGCTGTCTACATGGTCCAAAAATGTCTGCAGTGTTGCACCTTTTGTTATGACCTGTTGTTTCTGTCACGTTTTACGTTTTTGGAAGACAAAATAGGGAATATACTTTAGAAATTTGGTACTTTAAGAAACTGTGTTCAAAGGACTGTGATGTACTATATGTAGTTTTGGGTGTGTTGCATTTTTTAAATGTAATTACTAATATACTGCTTCAATATTTGGTATCAGCAGATATTGTAGTATTTACATGTCATACTGGATTCATATTTTGAATAAGCTTATGCTTTCTTCCCAGTGATTAATAGTCAATTCACAAAAAATAAGTCAGCCACAATTTAATAATGGATGAATTCAGTCATTTATCAAGCAAAATCCCAAACTTTTCAAATATAAGGAGTTGCTGTTTTTGTCTGTTTTTTATCTTTGGAAATTTGCATATCTTTGGGTTTTGGTCTGTTGCTTGAACAAAACAAGCAAATTGAAGACACGTTAGGCTCTGGGAAAATTGTATGCCCCCCCCCACTACTTTCTGACATTTATAGACAAAATAATCAAATAACCAAAAAAGTAATTTAAAGATGAATTGATAATGAAAATAATCATTAGTTGCAGCTTTAGTATAATTTAAAGAGTAGAATAAAAACTATAAAAAGTAAAATGCTCTTCATATTGGCATAATGCTGGATTGTTCTCTGCTCTGGCTGCGCCATATGGACACAGAGGGCATTTAGAAAAGACTTTGCTCTTTTTGCTTTAAAAGCTCTTCTGGTGCTATTACATAATTTATTATGATTTACCAACCATCTCTAACATCTAAGTGTCTTATGATCCCCAGGAATCAAAGTATGCTTCCATCCTCAAACAGACATACAGTGTAGCAAAACAAATTTTCTTTTTTTTAATTCAATAACAAGGTGTGCAGCACAGGTTCTCAGTGTGTGAAGCAGATGGTGAAAGGCTAGTGTATAATAGATCTCAATATTAACTGTAGCACATGCTGGGAGTGTTGGTGGATGGCACACAGCAGAGTAAAAGAGAAGCAATGACCTTCTGTCCCATCATTTACCCCCTCGTGCCCCCCATACCGCTCTCAAATTACTTTGTTTTAGCCAATTAAAGCAGCCGGCTGAGCATCAAGCAGGCTGCCATTTTTCGCTCACCTGGACCCATGTGACATTATCGCTCTGTCATCGGGAGAGATGGCCGTAAGTGGGAATCCTCGGCGTGGCACCGTGCCACCTTAGACCCCACTGTGCTCACTGAGATTAATGCAATGATTCTCCCTCCATCTTGCAAGAATCTCAGTTAGCTCTCT